TTAGTGTTGAGGTAACTCTAAGGTTCTGTGCCACTGTTTAGGAAGCAGAGATCATCTGTCTCACTAGCCCACAGGATATCATAGTGGTCCACCAGGTTGATGACATCTTGCCAATAGGACCCAAAGAACAAGAAGTTGTGGGGACTCTACTTATTTTGGTAAGACACATGCAAGCCAGAGAGTGGGGATTAAACCTTGAGGAAATTTTGGTAAAGTTTCTGGAGGTCCAGTAATCTGGAAAATGTTGGGATATTCCCTCCAGTGAGAAGGAAAAGTAGCATCCTTTCACCATGACCACCAACTACATAGAAAGATCACAATACTTGTCTTTGGATTTTAGAGACAACATATTCCATTTTAGGTATACCATTCAAATGTACAAGTATTTACCAGGGGCCCCAAAGGGTGCCAGATTTCAATATACTTGAACAGCCGAACTCTTTCCAGGTAAACCACATTGTAGCAAAAATGATTACTTTTCGGTCCTCATCACCCAGTAGGTTCAGCAGTGTTTGAGGTGTCTGTGGCAGAGCTGTAGCAACCCCAACAGGAGAAACATAGCACAGACCCTTAGAGTTTTTTAGAGAAAAGCCATGCCTTCCTTGGAAAGTGTTTTCCTGTTCAGAAAGTGATCTTGGCTTGCTTCTAAGACTGGTGAAGATTGAAATCCTGACCATAAATCACCAGGTGACCCAAGCTGCCCAGGGTAAATAAACTGAGTGTTTTCTTATCCTCTTAGCTATAAAGGTAGGCTGCCTAGTAGCACTCCATTACTAAGTGGAAGAGCATATGTGTGTGTTATTCATTTGTCTGTTTGTGCTGTTACATTTCTACCTTTCCGTACTCTTCTTGGCTATCCTGGGGGGCTAGAAGTCTATTAGACACACTTCTTAGATTCTCTTGCCAGCTAGCTCCAAGCTGGGTTTTGAAAATGAAAGATAGACGGGGAGAGAAGGCATATTTTGTTTGTATGAGGTTTATTCTTTTTTCCCCCCTTCTCCTATTTTTGGCTGTACTTCCAGACAGCAGTAGCAGTGGACAAGAGTGGGCCCCTTGGTTCCTGTGTGGTTCCAGAAATGCGAGTACTAGCAGCAGGTGCTCTGGCAGTCACAGAACAATTGCTTCTGGGCTCTGGTTGTGGTGGGGGTAACACAAGAAGCAGGTGTCCTCAGGTCTCAGAGATCCTGCAAGTCGTGGTGGTGGTAGTACCAATGGCAGCATCGTCAGAAACAGCTGACTCATGAGTACAACAATCATGGGCTCCGTGTAACACCATTTACTAGTTATATCTTGCTGTGTAACAAATTACCCTCAAACTAAGTGGCTTAAAACAACACGCATTTGCTATCTTAGAGTTTTTGGTCAGGAATCTGAGCATGGCTTACCTGGGTACCTGTGGCTCAGGGTCTCTCAGGAGACTGCAATAAAGATGTCAGCTGGGCTATGGTCACCTCTAGGCTTGCCCGGGGAGGAGTCTATTCCAAATTCATTCACATGGTTTTTGTCAGGCCTCATTGGCTTTTGACTGGGACATTAGTCTCAGTATGTGGGTCCCTTGATAGGGCAGCTCAAAACATAGCAGCTGGCTTCTTTCACAATGAATCAGCAAGACAGTGAGAGAGGGTGCATAGTCCTTTTGTGTCCTAATCTCTGAAGTGATATCCTATCACTTTTGATGTATTCTGTTCATTAGAATCAAGTTACTAGGTCCAGCCCACACTGAAGCTATTACTTATTGAGTACTTACTAAGTGGCAGGTCCATACACTCTGTCTCCTGTTCTAAGCCGCAGACATGTCTGAGTTCAGAGGCACTCTGTCAGCACTTCTGAGCCCCCTCCCCC